TGTTTGGGAGTCGAGAGCAGAGGGCATCGGTTCTGACCCGCCGCCGCCGCCGGGCACCGCGGTCCAGCCGGCTGCCGCTGCTGGAGCCCCGCTCCGTGAAACAGCGGCAAACACTTCAACTTTTCAAGCTTTTACTTTTTCTAAGGGAGGGGGGGTGAAAGCGGTCTCGGCGTTTTGGGTGTCGTAGCGAAACCGGGCCCTCATTACTTATGCATTCATCTTTGTTCTCATTGGAACAATAGCCGGGTCCCCGCCGCCCACTTCCCTCCTGTGTGCAGGCAGCATCAGAGCCGCTCCGCTGGCCCCGCTGGCTCCCCTGCAGCTGTTCTCTTTCAATGGGATGTCCCGCTGAAAAGGAGCAGCGCGCAGGCCTCCTTTTGCCTCTGATGCCCAAGTTAAAGAAAAGCACCCAGAAATTCATTGTAGGCCTTTTGTGCAGCCCTTACAACAACACATCTCTGGCAAAACATCAAGAAAGTTTAATTTATCCCTGTGGGAGTTTAGGCCCTGAGAAAATACAAGTAGTGTGAATAATGTAGTTGATGGGGAAATTAATAAAGTAGCCACCAACAGTTGCATACCTTACAAAGAGTGTGTGTTAAGGATTTGGACATGGTTGTCTGAAGATGTCTTCAGGTCTGCCACTGAAGCTGATTTTAATAGCAATGCGTATGTATGTTTTAGGCGATAAAGTTTTGTAAAACTCATGGTCTCCTGTCGTTTGGAGTTCTATGGTCATGCTGGATTTTCGCAAACAGGGCAAAATGAACAACATGTAAATAACATAAATTGAACATAAATCATGCATACTTCTGGCAATAGTAACATCTAGTATACCAAATTAAAAAGTATAGCACACATCTAACAAATTGTAAAAATGAATAATGAAAGGTAATTTCTTTTTTCTGGTGCTGATGATGGAAGTAGTTTGCTTCTTTCTCATCTCTGTTCAGAGCTGCACCTGTGCAGTATCAATCAGGTATTTGCGAAATGGTGGTGGGTAAAGACAAAGTTTATGAGCTGACAAGCATTTCAATGATCCTGGAAACAGAAGTTTTGTAGGTTGGTGTTAGTGGATGTGGGCCAAACTGTTTGATAGTTTAATTCAGCTATCATGGAAAGGGCTATGTGCTCTGCAAAAAACAGAACCACATGTTTATTCTCCCTACCAACAAACGCTTCCCTCTGTACAGTGAAGGGGGTTAACTGTATGGATAAACTCTGATTCTTCTCGTGTGACATTAAATCCCTAAGTAAGACTTCATTATTTATGGTGTTGCTGTCATTTTATAGCGGGAGAGAGCCTCTTTAGTGCTGCCCTGCATGCACCAGGACTCGCAGTGGGCTCTAATCCAGTGCGCACAGAGCGGTTGCTTTAAGGATGGGTCATGGCTGCAGAGATCCATTTTTTATTTTACATTTTTAAACACTTTCAAACTTACGCCACAGCGAAGTTCAGACGTGACAGCTCATAGTTGCCAGTCGTCATAGTAACATAAGATGCTTGCCAACAACAGCATAGCCTTTTTCCAGAGGCCTGTATTATTTCACTTAATATTGATGTTAGTTCATACATGAGTCATATTTTGCATCAATGTTCTAGGTTGTCTTATTTGTTTTATTACAGAAATAGGGCTGCTAATATAGAAGAACATATGTGATGTGACGATTTACTGGCAATCATCATTTTTGTATCTACTTTTCACAAAAAAAATCACAAAATCCTGGTGCTGTGACATTTGGTGGGGTCCAGAAAACATCTGGAGAAGACGGTTTGTAGGCCGGAGCGTCTCCGCAGCACCACAGTACTTTTATTATAATGCTGGGTTGTCACACATTTTACACACCCACAGTCCGGCAACAAAAGCAGTAACAAGGAAAAGTGTGAAGTTGATCCCGTTCAAACATGGCAGCTACGAAAACTCGTTCAGTCCAGGTTCAGAATCTTGTGAGGGCAGAAGGCTCTGTCTCTCATGGAATTGCAGAAGTAAGAGGAAGAGGAGGAAGAGAGAAAGTTCAGTGGCTGTGTGTGAAAGCTGTAGAACTTGGGCTTTTGTCATTTTATTTGATCAGAGCTGATATATTGTGCATAGTCATCAAAGGGGAAGTCCACTCATTGGACACATTTTAGGACGTGGACATTTTACAAGCAGAGGACTCTAACGGAAATATATTAATGCTTTGCGTCATGGGAAACGTAGGATCCAGCATTTGTGCAGCTTGACACAAACAATAGGAATAAAGGTCAGGATATTGTTGTTTTTTAATCTATGGTTTCTGAATCCCCCAACTTTATGGGAACGCACAACGAAACTGCTGCAGTAGCCCTTTATTGTGGTTTGGGTTTAGCCTGCAGTCTAAAGAAACCTTTACAGTGAAAACACACCTTTTAAAATGCTCCCTATTTGGAGTCGTGTGATTATTTAAAAAACTAAAATAAAATTGTCTCATGTCTTGCCACTCAAGTTCTGCCTCACATTTGATGCTATTAAATATGTGTTTGGGCAACAACAACACCGACAGGTACACGCAATATATGACCTGCTAGTAGTCCCGGATCGTCAGTGTTTCAGATCCGATATCCAGCATTTTTCCCATCATCACAATGGTTATTTTTGTTACCCAGTGGTCAATAAAATAAATGGATTCACATGCTCCCTGGGCTCTGATGCAGCCTCTCTTTCTGTAGTCACCCCTCTCTAGGCTCAGTGTCCCGCCCACAGCACGGTCTGACGGGTTAAACTCCATGAGGTTAGACGCTATTAGAGGTGGAACTTATTTTGATTACTGCTGGTTCCATTAATCTATAATAATACACATCATTTATCACTTTCTGATTGTATTAGTGTGAATCTGCAAAGCAACTAAAGGTATCAAATGTGTGGATTAAACAGTTTAATATTTGCCTCCAAAATAAAGCGGAAGTAGCCCAAAATTGTAATTTCGCAGATGTACTTAGTTACACTCTATCACTAGATACTCTAAATTTTCACACTAAGATTTAAATTTTTACTGGAAATGTATATTGGTCCAAAGTATCTGTTGTCTGTTTCCTTCTGTATCAGCCCTGAACAACCCACCTCAGTCGATCCCTAATGGAGATACATGTTTTCTCACATTGTCACTGAGTGTCTTGTCACTTGGTCAACAGTGTAAGTGGTTAACTGAGGTGGCTGGCTCCTTTCCCAGAAGATGCATCTCTCTAAATCTCAAGTGCTGCTCTTAATCCCCTAATAGATGCTGGATTAGCTCAGGCTGCTTTGAGTCTTTACAGGACCCGTTGCACGACCAGGTTTTTCCAGCCCGGGGAAGTATTTTCATGAGACCGTGTTAGAGAAAGGATTCTGTGAGGGTTTCTCTGTGTGTCTGTGTGTGT